TGGAACCCATCCTAAATAACAGGCCTTCAGTGTCAAATGACCCCAATGACTTAGAACCTCTAACACCAAACCATTTACTCAATTTGAAAGCAAAAGCAACCATACCACTAAGAGTCTTTGAAAAACAGATCAATATTGAAGATGGAGACAAGCACAATATCTTGCAAATCTATTCTGGAGATGTTGGATAAGGGAGTATCTCCCACTCATGCAAGAATGAAGCAAGTGGAAAAGCAAGAAGAGGAACTTCAGCCCTGGAGATCTGCTTGTTATTGTGGATAATTGGGCGCCAAGGAGCGCATGGATAAGGGGCCGTGTTATGAAGACTTTTCAGGATGCCAAAGGCTTTGTTAGAAGCATTTTGGTTAAAACCAAAGCCAATGTCATCCAGTGACCAATAGGTAAGTTGTGTCTTTTGATCGAGGCAGCAGGATGAAATGAAAGACTTTCTAATCTTTACTATGGACTGCTTTAAGCATTAGAAAGGTTGAGAGGCTCTAGATAACACTTATAGGCAAAGATTATGAACATTGATTTTAGAGATCATAATTAAATTTGTGGAATATTTTGCTAGATATAAGGCTCCTATGAATATTATTTTTGTAATTGGTACTTTGCTAATGCTAACAATTAGGGGCTGGGATGTTGGAGCCTATTAATTACATTGATGATGAATTAATGTTACATATCTAAAGTTATGTGAACAGTAGATCTATTGTTGTTTATTTATTTTGCTTAGACCCTCCTTCTTGTCAGTCAGCCTCCTGCTGTGATTAACAAGCAAAAGCAGCTGCTGTGGTTGATCTGATTGTTTTGTGAAGGAGGAGGAGTGAAACAATTTTTCTACCCCCAATTGATGTTTATTTTTTACATTTTTGGAAATCAACTCAGAAAATATTTATGTTAATTTTATAAGTAAAGAAAATGTTGGCCATCATTTTAAGTGGCTTACCCATACACAATTTCAGATTAATAAAAATCTAATTTCTAATATGATAGATTGTTACTGTCTGGTAAGTACTGTCAGTTAGGCCAAAAATATCTCATGCCTGGTTCCCAAAAATGTCTTTGGGAACCAGGCATGACCCTTGGTGTAGATTCCTGAGGCCAAACATTGTCAATGGCCTCCAACCAACACATTAAAGATGGGCTAAACCAAGTGAGATCTCATTGGTGCCTCATATATTCTTCTTGATAGAACAAATTATCTGTAAAAGCAAATTGAGATTTGACTGAAGCTACATAAAGCACTTCATATTTAGATCAATTAACAGCCTCTTGTAAGTATTTCAATAACATATATGCTCAACATAATTGAGTATAAATTGGTATTATGTATTTCTCAACTCCCCTCATCTTTTTCAAATGGTTTGCTCCACAAGCTCTTAAGAAGGCCAATGGTGACATCATACCCTTTGGTCTCTCCAGGTTTGACAAGGTAGCTGAAAGAAGGATTTGATTTGTTTGACTGACTCTGTTTGAGTTAGATTTGTTAAAACAATAAAATAGCATTTTTAAACTTTTAATTCAAAGTGCTTGGTTGAAGATAAAATGGTGGGACAAGAGGAATCGAGAAGCAGCATGCTACTCATACAGGTTGACTGGCTTACATTTATATATACTGCTCAAAAAATAAAGGGAACACTCAAACATCACAATATAACTCCAAGTAAATCAAACTTCTGTGAAATCAAATTGTCCACTTAGAAAGCAACACTGATTGACAATCAAGATCACCTGCTGTTGTGCAAATGGAATAGACAACAGGTGGAAATTATTTTCATATTTATTTCATTCATTCAGTTCTAGGATGTGTTATTTGAGTGTTCCCTTTATTTTTTTGAGCAGTGTATTTATTTATCCACATATAGTTTTCCTTATCTGCAACAGCCCTCCACCCAGTTTCTCTGTGATGGCTGCCGTCTCACACACATCCTGAGATTTGACGTCCCCATTTCCCCCATGCCCATCCCCCCCTCAGCATTCCCTCCATGGGAAAATGTTTGAAGATAAAGAATGGTGGGATAAGAGGAATCAAGAATTAGTAATTATTGTGATTTATATATTTATTAATCCACATATAATTTGCTGATTTACTGTAGCATCTCCAGCCAGTTTCTCTGTAATGGCTGCGGTCTCACACACATCCTGAGATTTGACGTCCCCATTTCCCCCATGCCCATCCCCCCCTCAGCATTCCCTCCATGGGAAAATGTTTGAAGATAAAGAATGGTGTGATAAGAGGAATCAAGAATTAGTAATTATTGTGATTTATATATTTATTAATCCACATATAATTTCCTGATTTGCTGTAGCACCTCCACCCAGTTTCTCTGTAATGGCTATCTCACACACATCCTGAGATTTGATGTCCCCATTTCACCCATGCCCATCCCCCCAAACATACTGACCCAGTATGTTTGAACTTTTGATGCAAAATGCTTGGTTGAAAGAATGGTGGGACAAGAAGAATCAAGAATCAGCATGCTACTCATACAGGTTGACTGGCTCACATTTATATATACTGCTCAAAAAAATAAAGGGAACACTCAAATAACACATCCTAGATATGAATGAATGAAATAAATATGAAAATAATTTCCACCTGTTATCTGTTCCATTTGCACAACAGCAGGTGATATTGATTGTCAATCAGTTTGATTTCTAAGTGGACAGTTTTATTTCACAGAAGTTTGATTTACTTGGAGTTATATTGTGTTGTTTGAGTGTTCCTTTTATTTTTTGAGCAGTGTATTTATTTATCCACATATAGTTTTCCTTATCTACTTCAGCCCTCCACCCAGTTTCTCTGTAATGGCTGCCATCTCACACAAATCCTGAGATTTGATGTCCCCACTCCACCCATGCCCATCCCCCCTCAGCATTCCCTCCATGGGAAACATGCTGAACTATAAAGTAAAGCATGTTTAAACTATTATGGCAAAATGTTTGAAGATAAAGAATGGAGGAATAAGAGGAATCGAGAATCAGTATGCAAATTATTGTAATTTATATATTTATTAATCCACATATAATTTGCTGATTTACTGTAGCACCTCCACCCAGTTTCTCTGTAATGGCTGCCATCTCACACACATCCTGAGATTTGATGTCCCCATTTCACCCATGCCCATCCCCCCCTCAACATTCCTCTATAGCTTGCTCTCAAACTTTGCAGATTTGACTGGTGTGGAACCTACAAAATGTTCATTACAAAGAATATCACCTGAAGCAACACTTTGGGAGATAATAAAAGTTAACTAATTAATTTTCTAGTTTTATAACTTAATTGATGCTCAGTGGAGTTGTGACGCCAAAGTTAAGGTGTGTTAGTTATTAACACAGGACTGTGCCTTAAGCCTCCGCTAGCTGCTTTTTGCAACCAAGCAGGAACTTCGGCCTTTGCCGGAGCCTAAATCAAGCGCTCCTTTTTGCCTGCCACACACCTGCACCGAAGGAGGGAATTCAGACCTTCATGCTAACATCCGAGGAATGAGGAGCAATCCAGCTAAAGAAAATGGTAAGATTATTGTTGTCTTAATGGACTCCCAGTTATTATCTATTATATCACTCGGTCAGATATACTTTTAAATGCTTTTTAAACGTGTCGATCTGTAACAACTTTTTCAATTGTGTTTAACTAGAATGGCTAGCTAGGACATTAGCCTAGCTACAGCTAATGAGAAGCATGCATGTTTTCAATTTTTGAGGCCCAGTCTTACAGCAAATAAATAGAAATAAAAGTGACAATTAACCAAAAAAGGATAAGTTATTACAATATGATTGCTCACCAAAATGACTCAAATGCAAAATAATAAAGGCTGTTACAAACTTGCAAACCTAATAGAGCAGAAATCAGGAATATGCAATATTTTCAGTCACCCTGCTTGTGTAACTGAAAGGGTAATAACTTTTTACATGTGCTCTGAATTGAGAGTCGATAGACATGAGGAACTAAAACATGAGTAGTAAATGGATACCTTGTGCATAAAGGTTGGTTCTGCTGGGAAGGGCCTTCAGGCCACATTACACCAGATTACATCCTTTTTAAAATAATAAAGGCTGGGATTTATGGGTTCTTGTAATAGTAGGTAGTATATTGGGATGAATCAGGAGGTGTGAATTTGAAACTAACTTTAGCATCATACCTTCAGTGAAGGGTCAAATCTGTTTTGGAAATATGAATTTCAGGGTTTTGACACTGACTTATAACCACTACATGTTTTCTTCCATGAAAATGCAAACCAGAGAAGTAGATCCAGTGATAGGAGTGACGGTGCAGTGGAGTCTACATCCAGCTGTTCCAGTTTAACAGGTGAATTATCTCAGGGAAAAATGCATTAGCCCACAATGTTTTTCCACCTTTAAGTTGTTTTGCATTATTGTTTCCACTAAATCAATATAATGTGAATTATAACTGCTCAGATGAGAGAAGGGAGGTGTGACAACAAGTCTATTAAAATGATATATTTTTAAATGATTTTAGATGCATAGAAGAAGCTACCACAATATCAGTTAATGTTTTATTTAAGAGTATTAAGTCAGGTTTTTCTTAAAGAAAAGGCTCAGCACATCTGTCCTTTGGTGATTTTATTTCAAATGCCAGTTGTTTCTAAATATCCATGAAATAGAGATTTGTGTTGTCATCTCTGACAGGAAGGGGGAGCGTTGGTAGAATCCACCTCAACTGCTTTCCTTTTTGCCTTTGACCATTGTTGACTTGTTCTGGCTTTGCTAATTTTATTTAATAACATTTAATATAGTTGTTCCAATCTTGAGTATTAAATTGAAAAAGTTAGAAATATTAAAGAATTGTTGAAATTATTGAATACTGCAGGTTGGAGATTTATTTATAATTCCAAATGCAACATTTGTAACCTACTGATAAGACCGAGAAATATTTTGAGAAGACAAAATATAGGAGGTGCAGAGCCTCTGAATTGTTTTAAGGTGGCATTAACTTTTTTCTCTTTTTAAATTTCAGGTACAGATAAGAGATATGGACTTGATCCACAGCAGAGGCAAATGGTAAGTGTGCCTATGAATAACTTCAAAGGATGTGATAGTATTTCAGCTCATTCTTCATACTGCGTAGCTAATTTAGATATTGTTCTAAATAAAAGCCCAGAAATGTTCTTCACCACTGAACATGTGCATCAAAAATACATTTCTAATCCTAGAGTGGTGAAAGTTATTTTCACTGTAGAGAAGTGGCAAAAATGTTATGTAGAGAAATGCTTGAAAAAGATCATTTTGATAAACGCTTGTCATATTGAATTTGGGATATCTGTTTGCACTTTGTGTTTGTGTTCTGGATTATAGATGATGACTAAATCAGGCCCGTTAAGAATTCTGATTTTCAATATATTGTGAAATTTTTTTAATACTCTGCTGGTTCACTTCTACTTTTTAAACTGACCATTAAGGCTGGTGTCCTGCAAAGATGTTTTCCTGTTCCACCACACTGGATCCAAATTAATGGATCATTAACAAATGTTTGCTAACAAGCTATTGGAGAATGAATTGATTTGAATGAGGTGTGCTGTAGCAACCCTTAAGAACAGTAGCTGCTGATCATTGACTTAATGTTTCACCTGGAGGCATCATTCTCAATGTGGGAAGGTTCCAGTTATATCTGGGGCCTTTTGCTGTGTCTCCAATCTGTTTAATTTCACAGATGTGGACATTTACAAATGCTTGTTTTCTGTATTTTATAGGATGAAACGCGTCCAGCTCGTCGCCTGCAGAAACTTAAAGCCCATCACAATAGATGTGAGGCTCGTTACAAGAAGGCAAGAAATGAAGTGAGGGAGAACATGTCTTCTCTTCATCAGAAGGATTTCATGGTTAGTTTTGCTTCACCTTTTTCTTGATGTACCCAGAGATGAGAACAGTTAGTAAATGTACCATTGCATGTGTGGCTTACGCTGTTTTGACACAGTATTGTAATAATATCAAGAAAATCTTGTGAATTTCTTAATACTTAGTATAATTATGTAGTCACCACAAATTTCGATGGCTATCTTTAATGCTGGATAAAAAAAAAAGTCTAATCATCTTTTAAAACTTTTGTGAAACAAAAATACTTTTGGTTATCATTACAAAATTTCACATTTTGTAATGATAAAAGTGTGAAATTTTTATCATTAATTTTTAGAAATTAATTATAAATTACAAATTTATCATTAATTTGTAATTTAATGATAAATTACAGATTATCATTTGTAATTGTAATTTACAAATTGCACTGCAGTGTCGCACTGCGCCAGGGGTCGCACTGCAGTGTCGCACTGCAGTGTCGCATTTCTTCTGCGACACTACAGTGTCGCAGAAGAAATGCATTTGGTGTGTCTATTACAATACAAATTGTCACTAGATGTTTACCAGACACCCACACATGGACTAATCAGGACTAAACCCAAAATATTCTGAAGCATTTATTATCTTCCAGTTTATGAAATTCTAATGGCCAGTAAAGTTGAAGTATACAATCAATGTGCCTAGTTTCATTTTCATGTAACCTAAATTTAGTAGGTCAGATTAGATGTTAATGGTTACCAAAATCCAAAAGTAATTGGCCGTGGTGTCTAACTTTTAACTTCTACATTTGAAAACAGCTGAATTTTATCTTTTGGTATATTTGTAACAAATCTGGGTGGATCACGTCATGGTTTGTATTAAATCTGTAAGCAAGTACTGTGCGCTGTGTTATTAACCAACACAAAATGCAGAATCTCCAGTGTAATTTGAAGGAGCCTGTGCACTTTTGGTGGTTAATATGTGACATTTTTGAGATTTCTAAATACCTTGATACAGTTTAAGTTAACCTTAGCTCTGTATTAAATTGTAACAGTTAATTTAGAAACAAGTCATTTTAACTGTTGAACTTATGAATTTTTAGGAGTCGAAACAGTCATCTGATGAGAGCGACAATACCATCATCCTTGGTCCAACGCCAACTGAAGTACGGGACATGAGTGTGCCTGAGCTCACAAGAACTGACAGTGTGATAGTAAGTTTATCAGTTTATCTATAAATATCATAGTCCAACCTCAGAGGTATTTGGTTTCTGTTGTTTTAACTGTACTGCTATTTTTTTCTAATGTTAAGATTCACTTAGGTTTGAAATTCTGTTTCTTTTTTGTAGTATTTAAAACCAAACTATCCAAGAACACAGTTAGTCGCCATGTGCTGATAAATCTGAAAAATGTTGGAAAAACATTGCGCTAACAAGCACCAAAAAAGGGCTGCACAGTGGTACAGTTGGCATCACTGTTGCAGCAAGAAGTTCCTGGGTTCAATTATCGGCCCGGGGTCTTTCTGCATGGAGTTTGCATGTTTTCCCTGCAGGCGTGGGTTCTCTGCGGATTCCCTGGCTTCCTCCCACGGTCCAAAAACATGACTGTCAGGTTAATTGGTCTTTTTAAATTCTTCCTAGATGTGAGAGTGTGTGCAGGGTTGTTTGTCCTGTCTGTTTACCTGCGACAGACTGGCAACCTGTCCAGAGTGACCCCACTAGGGACAAGGGTGTTAAAAAACGGAAGGAAGCACCAAAAAATCAAGAAAGGCCAAGAAATCATACTAGTATTGGGAATATTTCGAATTTTAATGAACTATGTAAAACTATTTGTACATATTTATCTTCTTCTGATTTGTTTATATGTTTGAAAAATAATTTGAAAGTAATCTCTTTTTTATATAATTTTAGTTAAACAAACAAATGCTTGGCTACTCAGAAGAGTCTCTATCAAGTTCTGACATCACTGAGGAAGAGTATGTTCCTGATTCAAAGGAATCTGAGAGTGACAGTCTAAAAGACAGTGACAGTTCTGAAGACATTAAACAGCTCAAGAAGAGGAAGAAAAGAGCCCAGAAAAATATTTCTTCTCTGGAAGTCCAGCCACTTAGGAGAATACGTGTGGCCACTTCTAGTTCTTTGACCACAAAAGATCCTGGAGAATCTTCTTCAACTGATGCAAAAGATCCTGGAGAATCTTCTTCATTTGATTCAAAAGATCCTGGAGAATCTTCTTCATTTGATTCAAAAGATCCTGGAGAATCTTCTTCATTTGATTCAAAAGATCCTGGAGAATCTTCTTCATTTGATGTGAGAGTCATGACCTTGAAGAAGAAGGAAGATGGCAGTAGGGTTTACAATAAAAGGTACTATTGTGCATTTTGTAGCAAACCTTACAGCAAAATGGCACGTCATCTAGAAGCAAAACACAGTGATATGCCAGAAGTGGAAAGTGCTCTGAAATGTCCCATAGGTTCTAGAGAACGACGGCTGCAGTTGTCCTTGATAAGAAACAAAGGAAATCGTGCCCATAATAATAAAGTCATTAAAGAGGGAAAGGGAATGCTCATTCCCCGCCAACAATGCACTAAATCATCAAAACCGGGTGATTACTTGCATTGCATCAACTGTGAGGGTTACCTCAAGAGGAAATTCATGTGGAGGCATATGCAGAGGTGTTATCTCAGTCAAAAAGTCAAAGGACTGAAGCCAGGAGCATCTCGAGTCCAAGCCATTTGCAAATATGCTGAGCCAGTACCAGACAGTGTCAATGCACAGTTTTGGAAATTAATACTTGACATGCACCAAGATGATGTAGCAAAAGTTGTCCAAAGTGAGAAATGCATCTGGAAATTTGGAGAACATTTGTTCAACAAACATGGTCAAGATGTTACAAGACATGAATACATCCGACAGAAGATGCGCGAGACTGCCCGAGTTGTTCTGCAAGGAAAGAAAGATGGCAAGTTGGAGACGCTGAAGGACTTCTTTGTGCCAGCTAACTTCCCTCATGTTATCAAGGCAGTTAAGAAAGTGGCTGGCTTGAATGAAAGAACAAATGTCTTCAAAACGCCATCTTTAGCACTCAAGTTGGGGCACAACCTCAAGAAAGTGGCAAATGTTCTTGAATGTGAGGCTATGATCTCAGGCGACGAGAATACCATTCACAATGTGCGAATTTTCAAACAAATCTATGAGACCAGATGGAGCGAGTGCGTCTCTTCCCATGCCCTTAGGAGTTTGAGTGAGGCTAAGTGGAATGCGCCTCAGCTCATTCCCTTTGCTGAAGACGTTAGGAAAATGCACCAGTATCTGGACACAAAAAGGATGGAGTGCCAGAGAAACCTGAAGGATGAAGCTGTAAAGAAGAACTGGGCTGAACTTGCCAAGATCACGCTTTGTGAGGTGATAATATTCAACCGGAGAAGAGAGGGAGAAGTATCCAAGATGCCACTGAATGCTTTCACCTTGAGAGATACCTGTCACCCATCCAGATGTGGAGCTTGCTTTGTCAGAACTTGAAAAAGAAGCTGTGTAAACACTTCCAGCGAATTGAGATAAAAGGCAAACGTGGCCGAAAGGTTCCCATTCTCCTCACTCCTGATATGGCATCATCATGGAGTTGCTTCTCCAACATCGCCGCAATTGTGACGTGTTGGATGAGAATCCATACATGTTTGGGAGACCACAGACTCTCAGTCACTTCAGAGGATCGGATATTATTCGTGAGATGGCTCAAAACTGTGGAGCAAAACACCCCAGGAGCATTATCCTCAACCAAACTGAGGAAGCACATGGCCACCATGTCAAAGGTTCTTAACCTAAAGGACAATGAAATGGATGACCTAGCTGACTTCCTCGGCCATGACATCAGAGTTCATCGTCAGTATTATAGATTGCCTGAAGGGACATTACAGTTGGCAAAAATCAGTAAAGTGTTGCTGGCACTAGAAAGAGGACAGCTCTCCAACTTCAAAGGAAAACTTGGATGAAATCAGCATCGATCCACAAGGTAAATTATTATTTTATTAGTGAAGATTTTATTTGACCCCCTGCCATGGCACATTTTATTTATTTTGATGTTGATTTTGTAAATTAAAAAAAAGATGACATCTACAAAAGTTTTGAGTGTCAGACATTGACAACTGTTTGAAGAAGCCCAGCAGGCATTTTTTCATATTGCATATTTTAATTCTTGTACTT